CACTCCAGTATAAGAAAACAAAGGAAAAGACAGCCTCACCTACTCCCTACACAATTAATGCCATGGGTAATTTGACTCCCAGTCAATTTGTCAGTGGATAATGTGGGTGGCTACCTGAAGGCAACTATGAGGTTTTTTTCCATGGTTTCATTTTATACTTACAGGTGGAGTAGCAATTCTCTGTTTGTCAGTGCTGAATCTGTGGGAGGTAGCTATTTTGGATTAATTAATATGAATGAGAAGGTGTGTTCTCTTACATGGAATTGGGATATTGTGTTCTGTGGGAATATATTCTTTTTCCATGAGGTTGCATGGGCCTGAGAAATACTTTTGTTCCATGAAATACTATTATTAGCATTTAGTCCTACTATTTATTATTTTGGTTCATTTGTGGACTAGGTAGAGTATATGTACTTCCCTTTATTAGAAATTTCCAATTGGCCAGAGGGACAAAGGGCACCAGTTCCAGCTGATCAAGAAAACTATGAAAGATGTTCAACCTAGTCCCAATTCACTATAAATGTCTGTTTATAACACATTGCTTCATTCTAGCAATGTCTAACTGATCTTCGTCTTCTGCCTTTTCCATCCACTCTGATTTTCTTTATATGTCTGATCTTTTTAGTCTGCAAGCTAGGGAAGACAGTCTATATTTCATTTTATGTACTGTGTATCTGCTATGAGCAATACACACACCAAACAAATGTAAGAGATTATTTATCTGAAAAGCAAGAGAGTTGTATAATAACTTCTTGGGAAGCAAAGATTTGGGCAAGAAGATGTGTTTATAAGTTTCAGATCTGTGCTTAGCTCTGTGGTGCGGGTGTATGCACACTGCCACATCAGTATTTCCTATAGTAAATACACCAAGCCTTTATCCCTAAGACAATCTTCTCCAACCCAGTGCTCGCTGGATGTTTTGGTTTGCAACTGACAGCTTTCCTGACCATTGGCCATATTGTCTAGGGTTGATGGAAACTGATCCACAGCATCTAGAAAGAGTCAGATTGGGGGAAGGTTGCCATAAAGTATGAGGGGTGTGCACTGGGGGAGACTTGATTGTTCCTCCCCAGTCTTTCTGCTTTATGTTAGGAGAATGTGTCCATTTCTGTTTTGTTTATAATTTGGAAGCTGGTAATGAGTATATCAATCTTTTCATGACAGTTCTAATTTATCCACTGCACACAAATGAATTATATATGAACATAGCTGCCTTATTCTGAATCAGACTACTAATCCCACAGCCTCACTACCACCAACTCTTAACTGGTACTGGCAGTCTAGAGAGAGCAGGTGAGTATTTTCTAGTAATGCTGCTACCCACCTGGGTCCTTTTAACTGCAGAGACCTAGGACAGTACCTGAGGCTTTACTCACATAAACCATGTGTTCTTTCACTTAACTATGGCCATTCTGCATGTTTCTGTCCTGCATCAGTGTACAGCAATTTATAAGGAACAGCCTCCAGCTGTCATGGAACTGATCTGAAAGTCTTCAAAGCTTTTATTCTGAAATGCAAAGGTGATCAAATCTGAAATTCCTGTCCTTGCATAATGAATACAGTAACTGCATGAATTTGTTATAGCCAAAGCCCACAAACATTAATCTTATGGCATTATAAAAGCTGCCAATTTTATTGTGGTATAAGTTTTATCATTGGAAATACCCTAATCACAATAAGGGCACAGTCCTATGGGATTGCAGCCTGTTAGAAGGAAGACTCAAAGCATGGAGGCGTCTGAAAATCCTATGTCTGGCTAGACTGCAGCCAAGAGGATGGTGGCAATTCCATCTCTTGTTCACCCAAAAATGTTTTTTTTTTAAATCTCAGCAAGATGCACCCTTGAGCTCATGTAGTTTACTCACTTGTAGTGGGCAGTAATGCATAATAGAGAGGCCTCAGGATACTTTGGATTCCAGTCTCTCCTCTCCCCATGCAGTTTCCTGTCCCACTTTCTAGATGCTAAGGTCACTTTTTGCTACCTTGAAAAGCAGGTGCAAGAGTTCTTTCTGTGGTGGCCATGAGGAGGTGGTGTCTATGGCCCTTATGACATGGATATCTATGACTCTTGGGATGCCTCCCAGGGACACTATGATCGCTTTCTAAGTCTGCATTGAAGATGCTATGAGGCTGTTGTGTTTGTTCATTTTCCTTTTTCATATTGTGGGGGTGGTTGTGTGTTCTCAAGCCACCTCTGACTTATGGTGACCTTATGCATGATTGTTCTCCAAAATGCCCTGTCCTTTTAGGCTTGCTGCTCAGATCCTGTAAACTCAAGGCTGTGGCTTCCTTTATGGATTCAATCCATCTCATCATTGGTTTTCCCCTTCTTTTCCTGCTTTACTGTTGTTTTCTCCAATAGTCTTGCCAATGGTCTCGCCTTCTCATGATGGCCCAAAATTGATAGCTTCAGTTTCATTTTTGCTATCAGGGAAAGTTATATCTTAAGTTAATTTAGAACCTATTTGTTTGTCCTTCTTTCAATCCGCGGTATTTGCAAAGCTCTCCTTCAGCACCATGTTTTGGATGCATCAATTTTCTCAGTCGGCTTTCTTCACTCACCAGCTTTATTTATTTAAAGCTATTATATACTGTCCAACTACTAGCATCTTTCCCACCTATGCACAGTGATCAGGAATACAACAGTGTGGATGATCTTGGCCTTGGTCTCCAGTAATATGTGAAGATCTTTCTAGTTCTTTCACTGTTGCCCGTCTAAGGCTCACCCTTCTAATTTCTTAGTTGCTGTCTCCATTTGAATTGATGACTGAGCCAAGGTATGCAAAAACTTTCACAACTTCAACTTTTTAAAATATTATTGTGCATTGCTTAATATTTCCTGAATATACCCTTTCTACATGCACCACTGTCCAACAAATAAGGAACAAAGAACCATTTTTATCCTCCTACACAACAGGAGTCAAGTCGGGAAGTCAAGACTTCCCGACTTGACTTCTGCAACGCGCTCTACGTGGGGCTGCCCTTGAAGATGGTCCGGCTACTTCAATTGGTTCAGAATAGAGCTGCCAGGCTGTTGACGGGGACTGGGCGTTATGCTCACATGACTCCAGTCCTCCATCGGCTTCACTGGCTTCCCATTGAAGTCCAGGCCCAATTCAAGGTGTTGGTGATCACTTATAAAGCCCTAAACGGCTTTGGTCCTGGCTACCTGAAGGAGCGCTTACATCCATATATGCCCGCCCATCCCCTGAGATCAGCGGGAGAGGCCCTTCTCTGGGAACCTTCCGTGAAGGAAATTAGGAGGATAGGTACTCAGAGGAGGGCTTTCTCTGCGGTGGCGCCCAATCTATGGAATATGCTCCCCAGAGAGGTCCGGCTGGCGCTGTCGTTATTTGCTTTTTGGCGCCAGGCGAAGACCTTTTTATTCAAGCGTCATTTTAATTGTTAATGTTATTTTTATTTTAAATTTTTTTTGGCCAGGGCGACTTATTTTATACAGTTACGTGTATTTTATATTGTTATTTATGTATTTTATTTATTTATAAGCCGCCCCGAGGCTTCGACGAATGGGGAGGCCTAGAAATTTTCTAAATAAATAAATAAATGTGTATGTCCCATGTTGTCCCCATATGATAAAGTAAGATACTGAAGACTAGAATGAAAATACCAATATGAATAGCTCAAATAAGAGTTCTGCTTTGCAAAGGAGGATGCACTGAAAGGAAGGAAAAATCCATTCCTGACTTGAATACCTCAGGAATGGCCTAAAGGTTATTAAGGAACTATATACACAATCCCCATTAACCTTTTTCAGTATATTGTTGCCTTGTTTGTGCATGATTTCCTGTGGCACAGTTATGTATTCATAGTCTACAGATGTCATTGTCTTACAGGAGGCTACTGCTTCAATGGCATTGTGTATTATTTCTCCTAAAATGTAGCAAGCCAATCCTGCTGCATTTGAGGGCTCTTCCACTGAATGGATCCTGGACTGGCAACCCCAAATCCTGCAGGGAGAGCACAATTGGCCATTTTGTACTGATTTAATTACTGCTTTATATTGTCAACTGTGCAGGCTGAAGAGTGCCTTGAAAGTGGCCAGCCAAACATTCTCATTTTATCAAGCCTTTTATGCTCTTTCTTGCTAAATTACTGGGGTTGTTTTAGTAGTTCTCTTTTATAATATGTATTTCTGTTTTAGCTTTTGTTTTTTATTTTAAAGGTACGTAGACCACCTGCTTCTTGTTGAAGGCCAATAAGAAGGGTGTGGGATACAGCAGTGTCTCTTTATAATAATAAGCCAAGTCACCAAAAAGAAGAAAAAAAAGTTAATTCTAAGCCTCAGCATTCGTCTGCTTATAAAGATGACATCTGTTGAGCTAATAACGACATTTGTCATACATGAGTTACCTGTGCAAACTTCCAAACCAATAAAAATGGCCTCAGGTATGGCAAGCTGAAGTGCTAAAAACGGACACCAGCGCTTTCCCTCCCCAGCCAGCTGTGGCTAAGTAGAGCGCGCGTTTCTTCCTAGCCTACGTACAAGTCTCTGTTAGCGAAGCATTGACACAAAAACCTGACCACTGTCCCCGGACGTTACCTCAGTACCCATCCCTGAAAGGCGGCTTCCGGGATGCCCATATACGGCCGGCGGCGCCCGCAGGTGAGCCCAGCTTGCCCCCTCGGCCCCGCCCGGCCACTCCCGGTTTCGCTTAGGTGGCGCTGCGTGCTATAAGCGCTCGGGGGCGAGGGCGGCTCGCTCATTCGCGCTCCGCGTGAGGAAGCCGCCGCCGCCGCCGCAGGAGCGACGCAGGTGCGCCGCGAGGGAGGAAGGGGGAAGGGGCCCTGGTGTAACCTGAGAAGGCGGGCGCGGCCGGCCGAGAGGGGCTGAGCTACCTGCGGAACCTGTCGAGCAGCTCCTGGGAGGAGAAGGAGAAAGGGCGCAGCGCAGGCTGGAGAGAAAGCGGCGCTCGGCACGCACCTCTTCTTCCTTTTCACCTACCTGTCCGTCTACCTGTTGCTCGCTCGCGCACCTGGCGATGGCTCTGCCCCGCGGAATCCTCTTGCTGCTGGTGGTCGTCGCGGCTGTAAGCTGCCAAAACGGTACGTGCGCGCCTGGAGGGAGAAACTTCCCTCACCTGGTGCGGGGACTTAATGGCACCTGGCCCGCCAAGTACCCCTTGGGAGGAGGCGAGCGATGCCTGGTCGTCACAAAATGGCGCGGGGCGGGCTCTGAGCGCTGGAGGAGGACCGGGCTGGCTCCAAGCTTTCCCCGGAGATCATAACCAGGATGCGGGTTTCCAGGGTGTGCTTGCCTGCGACGAGGGAGCTGGATTGGGGTAGCGTGGGAACGGGCTGCCCGTCGAGGCTCCCGGCTGCTTGCCGTAGCGTGAAGCCCGGAGAAGGCGACGCCCTGTTGGGTCCCTCTCGAAGGAAGGGCGGAAGGGGAAGCGGGCAGTCACCCGCCCAGCGGGTTTACATAGCCCCTTTCTCCTCATCTGAAGAACAACGAGACCTTCCCAAACTAGAACCAATCTTCCCCTCAAAGCGTAACATTTAGGTCGATCATCCCAACGTTTATTTTTGCTGAGGGTGCAAACCTGTTGCATAACCCTCCCCCCTTTCCTCCCAGGTACACGCTTACCTGGGAGTAAGTCCTACTGAGCTCAGCATGATTTCTGAGTAGACCTGTCTAGAATGGCATTGTAAGAGCGCCTGCTTGTACCAATATACAAACACGTTCCTCAGCCTTAGGTGAGCTGCCCTAAGATGCTGTGTGACAAGAGTCATCGCTTCTTATGAGGTTTAAAGAACTTGGGCATCCCACAAAGTTACAGTGAAAATCAGGCTCGGTTTATAGGCTCTCCCCCCTCCCCCAGCAAGAACACATTCTTCTTGCTCAGGAGGTGGCTTGGAACCATTAGCAACTATGTAAATACGGAATCGGGAAGCATGACGGTCTGCTTTTTTCCTGACCACTGATCTTCGCAACAGAGGAATTTTCTTCAGAAAAATTATTTTCTTTACTCTCCAAGTATTGCCATGCACACTCTTATTTCCAGAGAGCCTTTCCCCTCAAAGAAGGGCATATTTTCCCAGCTTTTTTCAAAAAATGTTGGTAGTTCAGTCAGTGACATCACAAAGAAGTGGCTTTAGATGGGGGGGGGGGTTGAACTGCAGGTGTGTGGGTCAGATCAGCCTTTCTGGAGGTCACAGCCCCCTTTTTGTGGTTCCCCAGATGACCTCAATGCCTTCCCTCCAACTAACAATCTTTCTGTGATTTCCCATCTTCCACCCTCATTCAAAATGGTGAAAATGTTGTTTTTAAAGGTTTGGTTACAGGTAGTAAGAGGTTTAAGCTAAACCATGCGGGTATATTTGCTCCGTCACTTTTGCCTTTGGCACTGCCTATCACTGTAATGGCCCTGATTACCAGCCCATCTTTTATTCACTTTTACCTGCTAGTTATATTATAACAATTGAACCAGCCCATGTGAATAGGTGAATTCTCAAGTTGACTACCTCTGCTGTCTCATGGAATGGGTTTCTGGGGGAAGGAATTACTTCAGCCCTAAAATGTTGAAATGGACCAAAACAGAGGAGTAGAGGGGTTTTTCTGTGGATAGTCCCCTTCCCTGAATGCCAATATGTTTAGAATGGAATTCAGGGCCAAGCCTGCTGAGGTCAGGATCAGAGTCAAAACTGGGCAGTGGCACTCCCTTTTCTCTCCTTGCCCAGCATAAAGGAAGGGATCAACTGCTTTTGCCAAAGGTCTGAATTGTTTTCTTGCAGAGGAGGTTTGAAGGTAATCCTAGGGACTCCTGTGGTTCAAGGGCTGTAGGTTGCTCACTTCTAGTCTAAGAGAACAGCTGCTGCTATGCAGCTTTCCCATCATGAAGACTGAGGTCTCTTTCCAAGTGTGAAGAGTCTTGGAGTGAGCAGTTAGTGATCTTTGGACTCCTTGTAGCCTTACCTGCAAAAGTGGAGGTAAAAACTATGTTTTGTGTAGAAACTGGAGCTTGCCCCAGAGGCCCACATTGTCCTAAATGCCATTGCCTGGTAGGACTAGTGTTCATTTGAGGAGCGATGTGTTGGGCTTCTTTCTACAGCTGAAAGGTGTAGCTACTTCTTAACTGTGTGTGCGCACGCCTTGGAGCAAATCAGATCCATGACAAAAGGAAGTGCCGATCATAAACATCATGTATGAAAATGGTCAAGGACTGAACTATTACAGCCTTTGGTAAAATAGGAGTGTTTTTGAGCATGTTCCAGGTATATCTCACAAATGTCTAAATCCTAGTTTAAAAATCAAGCAGCGGTGGCACATCTTACAAGTCATTCAGCTGCTTCTATCACCTGTAGTGTTTGGGGCATCTCAGACTAAGGTCGACCGGAATTTTTCTTGCTGGAGAGAGAGAATGTAATTCAGTATTAAAGGCTTTTAAATTGCTAAAAGTTCTACTGATCAATATGCATGTCTGGTGGAAATGGACAATTGGCTAAGATTGCCTTAAGGCTCAGTCCTATGGTCTTTCAACATTGTCTGGATAGGCCATGGAATTTGAAGCCACACCTCCAAAGTTCTGCAACCTCAGAGCCGGGACTCCAAACACAGAGCTCTTGCTCCCCCTGTCCATAGCCAGCATGAAAAAAAAATCATGCCAGATGCCTCTCTGAAGCTGGAAATTTATCTTGGAAAGGAGAAAATAGAATGCGTAGGAGGGGAAAAGAAGGCTGGAGCCAAAATTTAATGTCATATCCAAATGACACCCCAGCTTCCTTCCCTCCCCCTATATGAACACAGCTATCTGGATGAAGTATATGGCAGTAAGTAACAGTCCTGATTAGTGTCTCCATCCATTCAATATGTGAAAATTTTGATTCTTCGGACTTTGAAAAGGAATTACCACGCCAAGTGAAAAACGTAATATTTGTATTAATGTTTTACTGTTTTAATAAGTGTATGTATGAAAATGGCCTTTAGATATATGACTGGGTTCCAGGAGATGATTGTATCATACTTTCAGTTTAGTTATTGCATATGATATGAATAATTCTCTGTGTTCATAAATTACATCTTTTGAAATAATCTTAAGGGGCAACTTGCCTCTGATACACTCAGATCACATATTGTAGTCAAAATAGGTATGACCTTTTGCAATGTATTTATGGATACAGTGCTATTCCACCTTTTCCTCTTACAAGAAACCCAAGATAGTCTTCTAATATTCAGTTAACCAATCATTATTAAAGAATAGTAATATAAGTAGGATCCTTGCTCCTCTTAGATCTAGCTCAAGGGGGTTATGAACTCATTTTGATAACATACTTGCATCGCAAAGAATAATTTCAAAACTATTGCACAGATAAAAAAACTATTTTGGAACTGGCCTTTATGAAGTCAAAATTCCAAACTATATTTGAGTTATGCTAACCCTACTAGAAAAAATAATTTTCAGTGAACTAAATGTCTTGTGAATAACTGCTTTTCTGTCATCATGAATGATCAGAGAGCTACTGGGAAATTTATTCCTCACTCCAAAGTAAAGCTTGCTGCCCTGTAGCATGATCCTAAGGGATTTTTCCTAACTGATGGTTTTAAATGTTACAGTTCCATGTGTGTGTAAGAAGAACAAACGGACATTTGACTGCGTTTCCGATGGTAGCTTGTGTACGTGCAAAGTTTTTGGATCCAATGTTACAGTGAACTGTGAAACATGTGAGTACAAGAACACAAGAAAGCCTGAATAGCTTGATTCAGAATTTCAAACATGAGAGGGAAATATATTGTTGTCTTCAAACACAACTTGTTAGACATTTGAAACAGAAATAGCCTACTAACTTTAAATATGGTTTTCTACTATTTTGTTTTAGTGACATCAAAATGCTTGCTGATGAAAGCAGAAGTGTTTGGCACAAGATCTGGTAGACGGGACAAGCCAGCAAATGCACATTTAGATAATGATGGCATTTATGACCCAGAGTGTGACGATAAAGGTAACTTCAAAGCTAAGCAGTGCAATGGGACTAGCACTTGCTGGTGTGTCAACAGCGCTGGAGTACGAAGAACTGAAAAGGGTGATAAAAATATCACTTGCAATGAAGTGGTACGGACAAGGCAAGTGTCCTCATTTGAAACTGAATGTACAACCAAATCTCTGTTTGAATCAGGCTGTTATGAGGAGTAGTTGTGAATCTGCAGGTGTAAAAGTTCAATGAATTATGAAATAGAGTTTCAACTGAAACTTTACAGAGAAACACAAACTTTGTATAAATACACTGATTGGCCATCCTATTTATGATTATGTTTGTAAATTGGCTAGAGAAGATACTGTTTTGTAAGGCAGCCTAAAACTTTTTAGAAGCTTGTGATTAAAATGTAGAATTATCAGACTATGTTTTTGAGGGTAATACTTTATTTTTCAGCTGGATCATTATTGAAACAAAACATTCTGAGACTGCTGCTTCAATCAAAGACTCTGTTGAGGGGTATGTATTGGTAATCTTGACGATCCATGTGTATTTTGGAAATCTTTCAGACTGTAAAATATGCACCTGCTAGTGACAGAATATTTTTCAGAATGTACACAAAACATTTTTCTTTCTGCTACACGTGCACTCGCAGCCACCATCCTCCAAAGCCAGTGTTCCTTCCAGACTACTTTTATACTTTGCCTAAACATTTGCATGCTGAGTTGATATTGCTGACAGAAAATAGCTGGATGGGAGGGTTGGCCTAAATTGGTTTAGCCCTGGTTGCTGCTGCTAGTGCTAAGTATGGGGAAAAAGAAGAAATAGAATTAGAGGTGAAAATAGAAGATAGAGGAGGGAGCTGTTATCAAAGGGAACCAGGAAAGGTAATTGAGGACTGTGCATGTCCTTTGGATCATATAAAACTATAACACTTAGTGCCTGGAGATGGCATGGTTTTCAGTATAAAGTCATGTATTAAAATACTAACATGTTTCAGTATTCAGTTTCTCATTCTGGTCTTTAATTTGCAGGGCTGTCAAGATGGCACTCTCTCAACGTTACCACCTGAATCCAAAGCACATACATGTTATGGTATGGACAGGTGTTTTTCAAAGTTCTGATAGCAAGATTGCGCAGTCTCTTTGAATTTTCTTACAAGCAATGTTATGCTAGTATTTAAATTATACTCTTTAGACTGTTCAGTGACCTTTAGCTTTGCCAGGGGTTTGACCCACCTTGAACCTCAAGATGGATCTTATTTTAACTTTAGATATTTAACTTTACTATAAATATTTAATTTTACCATATCAAGATTTAGTTATTAAAATATTTGGTACCAGTTTAAGGAAATACAAAAGTTATTCTTTTTAAGCCTTGCTGAAAGTAAAACCAGCAGTCTAGTAAACAAAGTACTGAAGGCAGAAGAGAAAATATATATATTTTTGCAAGTAAAGGTTCAAGTTGCAGCCATTCAAATCTCCAAGGGAAGAACATTCCAACTTTCTGGAATTACAACAGAAAATGCTCCCTTTTCCAATCTAATCTAGTCTAACCCTAAGCCCTGCATACAATCTGATGTTAATTCCATACCTGGCTATTTCAATATTTTTGTATTCTCTTCCACTGAATTGCATTGCAATGCCCTGCATTTAGTGGCTAATAATCCTGCCTAATAATTCTGATACTTGAATCTCTGATCCGGCTCAGATAATACAACACATTACAATGGTTATTACATAGGTAATTGTGTGAAAACAACCCTAAGAACTCATGTTGGATTGTCATGTTATTTGAACCCAGGTGACATAGCATTGTGGATGAGCCCTGCTAGCCAGGAAGCCACAGAACAGCCATCCTTGCCGGTGGCTCAGGTGTAGGCTTTTCAAGTTGCTAGCAGGGACGTCTGGGGTTTGCTTGCTATGTGTTCTCTTGACAAGTAGGAATGGACAGCAGTTGTGATCTGAAGTACAAGGAGGTCAGTGTCTAGCTTTGGCTGGGGTAACCTAGCAGGGGGCTGCCTGCTACAAGGAGAGTCTCCCAACAGCCATGATCATGAACTGATTTTAGCTTGCCGTGGCTATCGGAGAGAGAACAGCTGTTCGTTTTGTGGTTTTCCTGGCCGAAGGAACAAATGAGGGGGAAGGAAGCAGGCAGCAAAGTGCTCACACTGAGACCAGTCGTTTGTTAGATTTATAATGGGCGCTTTACAAAACAACCAGTTCACTAAGGCATATTGCCAGGGCAGCTTGTTGTACCATGCAAACTTAGCCTATATTTATTACTTGTAGTGCAGGTTCCTGGAGCCTATAAATTGCTTTCTCTAAACTGTAGACTATTGAAAGGAACATGATTTTTACATGTCTAGAAATATGAAAAATAAAGGCAACTGAATGTGAAGTAATAATTGTATTAATCTGTTTTATTTTTCTAGTATGAAAAACCTTCAATTCTTATTGATCTGAAACAAAATGCTTCAGAGAAATCTTCTGAGGATGTAGACATAGCTGATGTGGCCTACTACTTAGAAAAAGATGTAAGTCAGTCATCCAGAGTGAGATATAAAGAAACAGCTCATGTAACTTGAAAGCTAGATGCCAAAGGCATGTATTACTTGGACGAATTAAGACAAAGAGCAATTGAGTAACTAGCACATCTTCTCTTTTAGGTCAAAGAGGACTCTCTGATTTTGGATAGCAGCTTGAATATTATGATTCAAGGAGAACCTCTTCAGCTTCGAGATACTTTAATCTACTATGTTGATGAGAAAGCACCAGAGTTCTCAATGAAACGTTTGACTGCTGGTGTTATTGCTGTGATTGTGGTTGTAATACTGGCAATAGTTGCTGGTATTCTTGTATTGGTAAGTTTTTCATGTTACAGAGGACATTATAGGAGACTAATCCCATTACTTATAGAAGATCATCTCAATCCTTCCAGTAACAAACCTCCTAGGGCAGCCAGCGTTTAAAATTACAATACTGCATGAAAAAGCTGAGACACTTGAGGGTGTCTGATGCAATGTCTGGCACCTTTATTTGACAATATTTTCTGTAGAAAGAGCTCTTCAGTCTTGAATAATGTAAAGATATAGGAAACAAATATCCAATGTTCAGGCTTGTTATAGGCTGTAATAAGAAGAGGCAGCTATCTTGATGAATGTTTACATAGCAACCTCAGATGCTGCATTTCTTGAAGAAACTTTGCAGTTGGGCACTACAGAAATGTAATTTTTTATTTTCTGTACTAGAGGCAACCATCAGTGTGGGTGATATTTGCTAAGGAACTCATGCGCTCATTCCAGACCAGTTTTTAGACCTTGGCTAAAATTCAATAGGATAATAGAAAACTTCCTTATATGAAAGCAGCTGATCAAATTGAGTATTGCCTACACTGACTGGCAGTAGCTCTTCAGGGTTCCAGACAATGATCTTTCCCAGGTCTCCCTGGAAATGCCAAAAATGGGACCGAGGACCCTTTCCATGCCAAGTATTTGTTTTACCACTGAGTTGTGGCCCTTTTCAAAGTGATTCAGCTCATGGTGATTTAAATAAGGAATTAAGGGGCTAAGCTCCTCTTAGTCATCTGTGCTCTTCCATGAGCTCTGAGGAGCTTTTTAACAGGAGATGTTAAGTAATCTCAGTGAATGGCACTAGTGCCAATTAATCTCTGTACATTCATGGATGTTATATTAGTCCTGGACTTGGAATTGTCTTAATGCTGAAGAGATTTGGTCTAATGGGCTATTCTTTCTTGTTGCAGGTTTTTACTAGAAGCAAAAGGGGTAAATATGAAAAAGCTGAGGTAAGTGTTTGGTGTTTTTTAAAGGGGGGGTTAAGTGTTTTGGCCAGGGTTTCCCAATTTTTTTGGACTTTTGGACACATTGGGCTCTCTGCTTGACAAGCAAGCAGGTGGTATTACTAAGGAAAAAGAAGAGCAGTAGCAGCTGAAACCATTGCAGTTGAGGAGATAGAATCACTGAGAGAAGGGACCCTGTCATGAGCATTTTGTGAAGGAACTTCCAAAACTTATCCCAGGGCCAGGGAACTAGACAAGGATCCTCCCTTTTCCCAGTATTGTTTGCTTTAGTTATAGAATTTTTAGCAGATAGAATAAGGGATGATAACACAATACAAGGTATAACTTTGGAGAATGAAATTAAAATTATTTTATTTGTTGATAATACTTTGTTAACAATAAAGGATCCATTTAAAGTTATGGATCAGGTTAGAAATCATTTGGAAGAATTTGAAGAGCTAGCAGGTTTAAAGAAATTGGGATAAATCAGATGATGTTTAATTGTGACAAGAAAAGGTAAAGATTAGGAGTAAAAGTAAAGATATGTAGAGTTATTAAGTATATAGGTATAAACATTACTAAAAGATTACAATGCTTAAAAATAATTTTGATAAATTGAAATATGAAAGAAAAGAAAATGAATGCATTTAGGAAGAGTGGATTATCTTCATTTGATAAAATAGTGATCTTTAAAATGAAAATCTTGCCTAAGATTTTTTTGTTTATGATGTTACTGATTAAAATAACAAATAAAGGATTAACAGAATGGCAAGATATGTTAAGTTTTGTAACAGGGATAAAAAGCAAAAATAAATTAAAAAAGATTTTTTTAGATCACAAAAGATAGTGGGACTAGCTATTCCCAGTATAGAGTTGTAGTATGTAGCAATTCAAGTGAGACATCTACCAGATATTGTATCACAACCCGATAAGCCATATGATTAAAATTATAATCTTTTCAACTAGAAGGATACTTGACAGATTTTTCAACTATGATAACAAAAATATTATTAAAAAGGTAGAAAATCCTTTCCTTAAAAACACATCACAAATTTGGAATAAGTATAAGGAAAAATTAATGCCATCAATCTCACCATTACACTCAGTTACTGAATTAGACGGGTTTCCATCAAACTTTGGGGAAAATACTAAAGAATAAACAAATTGTTAAAAGATTGGTTAGAGAAAATTAATAAACACTGACAGATAAGAGCAATATTAGGAAAGGAAAAATAACTTGGTTTAATGTGATCCAATTAGAATGTTGGACTAGAGATTGGTTAAAGAAAAGACGTGGATGTAGAGATTATACTAAATTTGAAGGTATTGTTGTGGAAAAGGAAAAACAAGATAATATGCAGATGAAAGGGATAGTAAGTAAAATCTGTAAGATATTGTCAGAGGATCAGGATCAGTATAATCCACTTAAAGCAACATGGGAATCAGTTTTGAGGAAAAATTATATTATTATTATTATTATTATTATTATTATTATTATTATTATTAACATTTCTATGCCACCCCTTGCCGAAGCCTCGGGGCGGCTTACAACACAATATTAATGAAGACTGGGAAAATATCTGGGCTAAGAGGATACTAAAATGAATGTCAGTAAGAATAAAGGAACATTTTTATAAATTAGTATGGAAATGGTGCTTAATCCCAGTGAAGCTGAATTGTATAGATAGTAAATATTCCAATTTATGTTGGTGATGTGGAGTGGGTACATATTTCATAAGTGGTAGGAATGTGAATATATAATAGCATTTTGGAAAGAGGTTTTAAAGAGAGTAGTAAAATACTAAGTTTAAATATTGAAATATACCCTGAGATTGCATTACTTTCAATATTTGATAAGAAGCAATGGCATTAGAATAATAAATTTAACAACAGCTCTGTGATTAATTATAGCTTAGAACTGGAAAGTAAAATATGATTATCGATTGTGTGGTTGGTATAGGGAAGTCTGGAATATAGCTATTAACAATAAATTAACTTGTAATCTTAAAGTGAAAAAGGGTATATTAAGAAAAAGAGAGTCACTGGAATTTTGGAAGGGGGAAACTTCTTGAAAGAATTTTTGAAAGAGTCCCCAACATGGCCCTGGTGATGGGGTGCACAGTGTCTTTGTGACTTAACATTAATTGTATGTTTAATGCTGTATATTTTAATTGTAAGTTTTTCTTTTATTTATATTTTACATTGTAACATCAATAAAAAAGTTAAAAAGGAACTTCTAAAACATGGAACCAGCTCTGGTTTACATTCTGTTGGAGGGATTAAATGATTTCAAAAGTATTCTGAGAACATTGAATTGGAAAATAAATCAACTTTTTATTTTTCAGGTAAAGGAAATGAATGAAATCCATAGAGAATTAAACTCGTAACTGCTGTAATATGAAACATGAGGAAGAAAATGGGAAAAGCATAAAATGGAAGATTATCCATATGGACTCATTTTTATACATCCCTATAGTTTAGTAAGATTACTTCAAATATTGAGACAAGCCTAATATGTGTTGCATTTGGGGAACTGTAAAAATCTTTTAATTTGAGAACTAGCTGGGCCACATGAGTATCATTCTATCACAGTTACTAATGGAACACTAGCAATGCCTTTTTGTTGAATGTGTGCTATATGAGACCATGTTATGTAAGTTTTAGAGGTGCCTAAAGTTGCTAGATATCTAGGCTTTCAGACATTTCTCTTGCATACAGTAGAATGTGGTGTGTATTTTTGTAAATATTTTTCTTCAAATTTGCTGGATTTTTTTACATAATGACTTTAATAAATTTTGAAACAAATGTTTTCGTATGCTGTTCTGTTGTTTTACTAAAATTTATTTTTATTTTTATGGACCTGTTTGCATGTCATGCTGCATTTCCTGGGTAATTAATTCAGGAATTGATACATATGAGCAAAGCATATGAGTGGTTGCCTCCCTGCAAGTTTGTCATTTCTGCTTTCAAGGATCTATCCAGGAATGTCCCATTCCTGGGTTGTTTTGTTGTGACACGTGAAGCTGGAGACTCTGGGCTGTTCAGGTTCAACAATCCAGAGTTAAACTTACAATTGCCCATGGCTTGTTGGATTAAGTTTGGATTTTTCTGCCCAGAGTTTTGTGTTTACATGTCACAAAATTCTCCATAAGAGTCCATGCATCAGAGTCGGTGATAATCCACAAATGCTTGCTTGCTTGCTTGATTTTATTTAATTTTTTTATATGCCATCCCAATAGTAAAAGTCTCTGGACAGCTTAGAAAAAACAGAAAAACCAAAAACAAAGCAATCATAACAATGACGACGACAGAATACATTTGTTATTCTTTTAGGTACCATAAGATCTTCATTTTTGTAGCAGAAAAAGTGTCTTGCAAGTTTAGAAATAAAACAGCACTAGTTATCCAAGATCTAATTAACACCTTAGGAATTCATATCAAAAATATAACTTTGTTACATGCATGAAACTATTTTTATCCTGCTTTAAGAGCTAGTTTGATGCAGTGAACAGGGGAGAACTAGGTTTGCATACATGTTCTTTGCCATGAAGCTCATAGAATGGATTTTTGTCCTGTTGTTTTTTTTAAAAAAGCCTTTATAATAAAGTATGCAGCACTAGCTTTATTTTAAAATTGTCTTTGTAAAAGCACTTTGAGTCAGTTACTACTTACATCTATATCTATGTTGCTGGCGAATTCTGTCTTGATGGTTGTTGGCCAAACTGTTCTAACCCAAGCTTTCCCTCCAACAGGAGATAGCAGGGAAAGGGAGGAGGGATGGAGGAAGTAAATGAGTTATCCCTGTATTCAGATCATATTGGCAAGTGAAAAAGATAATATATCATTTATTAATCTATCATACAGTGAATAAAGATAAACGTACTACTGTCACAGAGACATGACGGGCTCTTACAAGAAACAGAAGGCTGTGTTGTTTCCCATATTTCCATTCAACATTCTTGGCTCAGTAAACTTTTGTGTGTAACTTGAATGTATGGGAAAGACACACAGCCTTAAGATTTCTCATGCTGTGTGTATGCCACTGAGGGTGAGTAATGACTGGAGAAATGAACCTTGAATGACTCTTCCGTACTGTACCACCACTGCCATCAGTGCCATATGTCCAAGTATTTCTTGTGCTGCCCATACCGTGGTTTTTGGTTTGAATTGCAATTGTTTAATCAATGCTGTCAGTGTTTGCACAAGGTCTGTAGGCAGGTAAGCACGAGTTGGTAGAGCTGCTATCCTTGCTCTGATATAGATAATTGACTGTGAGGGCAAAAGTGTGGATTTTCCATTATTTATGCACAGTCCAAGCTGCTCTAAGAGATTACCTGTTTTCAAAATCAATCTTGAGAATCCTCGCTTAGATGGGGAGACCAACAGCCAATCATCTAGATATGGGGTAGACTTGTACTTCTTGAAGTCTCACATGTGCGCAGACTGGTGCCATACACTTCGGAAATACTCTCAGTGCCATCAAGAGACCAAATGGTAGCACATTGAATTCATACACCTCAATACCAATCTTGAATCAGAGAAAGTGCCTATACTCGAGATGGATGCTTATATGGAAATAAGCATCTTTTATGTCCAGAGACATGAACCAGTCCCCTTTTTGTAATAAAGGCAGGATGGCTTGCAGAGTGATCATTCTAAACTTTTTGGCGTTTATGAAGCGGTTTACTCCACGTAGGTCTAGAATGGGGTGGTGACCTCTATCTATTTTCAGAACAGTGAAGTATCTGGAGTAGAAACCATGCTGTCTCTGATCAGTCAACTGGTTGGATTGCACCTTTCTGTAACAGTGTTTTGATTTCTTCTTGGAGAATTGGGGAAGGTGATCTACAGACAGTTCTGAGAGGAGACAGGGACTCAAATTTGATTTTATATCCATGTTCTATAATGGACAGAACCCACTGATTGAATGTGATGGCTTCCCAGATGGGAAGATAGTTTTTAGTTTATCCCCAAAAGGGAATGGTGGAGTAAAGATGGGGCTGGTTTGTGTTACCCATCAACCTTGTCTCTTCTTGGTGTCTATTTTTTTACTTGGAGAGAGTTGCATCGCTTCACCAGTGAAGATTCTAGCCAATTCCCTTTGTTGGTCAGGAAGAAAAGCAGCTAGAGACTCCCATTTTATGCCATAAAAAGACTTGGTACCTCCCCATCATCACCTTGTAATTAGAGATGCAGAGGCCAAGTCCCATGGCAGAGTAAATTTGTCGATATGACATCCTTCACGACCCATAGGGATGAAATGTTCTCTGTGTTGTTGGCCTTGCATTGCTTCAACAACGATACAGCTTGGTTGGGGGTGGTGCAACAGGAACATTCTGTTCCGAACCCAATACATGCTGTTCAGGCATTGTGGCATTGGATGGGGCTGGACTGGTAACTCCCATGCTTTTATCACACACTGGAAAGTTGGCATCAATGGGATCGTATCTTCCGTGTAGATCACATCATATACCATGTTGTATTTTGGCTTGGTAGATTGTTCAGTGTCGATTCCTAGTGACGTGGCGATATAGATGACTTGCTCTGAGAAGTGACCCAGGCTCTTTCCTGGTAACCGAGGGCCCTGTGCAAAGACCATGTACTCCAGTGATGGAGAAACAGCTTCTTCGGTGTCTGGATGTGTTCTGTGTCAGAGGCATAATCCATGTGGAATGATGATGTGGATGAAGGTGCTGGCGATCCACATTATGTGGTCTGTGGCCGTGATGTCGTCAGTTGTCTTGAAGTAGATGGTAGCTCATGATAATGTTGTGCTTGTAGTGGTTAAGGATGAATAGGAGGCCATGGGTACTCAAACGGTGGGATAGAGTAGTCCCATGGGTAGCCAGGTCCATAGTAGGAGTATAGTGGTGGCATCCATTATGGGTTTCTTCCATACTGACAGGTGTTTGGTTCAAGGGTATGTACAGAAAGTTGAGTTGAACTCATTGAAAGGTTAAATGAAAGTTGTCCATACAGGCATGGTGTAGGAGTTCACTGTACCTGAGGCTCCCTCTGTGGGGTGGTGACTTGCCAGATTGGAGACTCCACTGTCAGTGGTAAATGGGTTGGAGAATCGTGAATTTCTCCTTCTGAGATGGAGGCTGGTAAAACTGTTTCTGCCCATTGAGTGTCAAACCAGGCTGGTATTCTCAAGTTGGATCATATTGAGGATGCTCAAGTTGGAGCTGCCGTTGGTACTGAGGTGGTAGTTTGTTCCATTTCCTGTGGAATGTCTGTAGTCTGGAGAGTGAAGTGTGAGTGCTGCATTTGCTTTTTCTCAGGTTTGTTTTTCCCCCGAGTGTTTATCTCATTTTGATTCCCTAGTCTTCACATGTTTTCTTTTTTCTTTATCTTTTTTGGAGATTCAGAGGAACCTGGATATTTTGGAGCCTGGGTTGAACCCTTTGTGGTGGATTTAGCAGTGGGTGGGGCGCGTTGAGGCGTGTTAATTCCAGGGGCAGATGGTTTGCCTGCTTCCTCGGCAGTGGTGTCTTGCATTGTTCCTAAGGTTCTATCCCAAAGTTCCATTTTTAAGTGCCCTTTGTGGTTTTTTTGTGGCCTGCTTAGTAAACTGGCAGTGAGGGCACTTGTCAACATGGTGCCCCTTACCGAGACACAGCAGACAGAATGAATGGCCAACTGTTGATGGCATTTTCACGCCACATTTTGTGTGCTTTCTAAATGCAGCTCGCTTGAGCCATCAAGAAGAAAGTCAAGTTTAAGGTGAAGGTAAAATCAGATTAAAGAGACAATAGAAAGTTTTTTAAATTTTTTAATGAGGGAGATAGAAAGTGAGGAGGGCCAAATGGGGAAGTAAGAAAAAGGGGACAGAGTATGCGATGGTATAGACAGTGAGGGCGAACCTTTTAGAGACCGAGTGCCCAAACTGCAACCCAGCACCCACTTATTTATCGCAAAGTGCCAACACTGCAATAAAACCTGAATTTGCTGCCCAGCAGCACAAGGGGGCAACGTTCCATGGACCACCAGCTTTTGGCCGGCCCTGAAAAAGGCATCTGAGTGTATTTCCTACCTTTACCAGATTTTACTTTCTGCTACAATCACAAATTACTGGCAGCTCACAGACCAGCCATGCGAATGCTCGGCAAATAACGGCTAATGAGTGACTGTCTTTGCCTGGCGCCCTTAATCTTTCTGAATATGCTCATGCCCCTTTGGGCATGCATGCTTGAGGTTTGCCATCACTGGTATAGAATATGCTGGAAGAAGAAAAAAATGTAAAGGGGTAAAGCAGAACATGAAAGCTGGGGTAAATGTAAGCAAATCTGAAAGAGCTAGGAGAGACCCAAGACACAGTGAGGGGCAGTTGAAAGTGAGCTGATAAAGGGTGGGAGCCCCACCTATTTATACTAAGGGGAGGGGGGAGGGACCCCTGCCAAAAATCGTTAAGCTAGAAGAATCTTCCTGAACTTTGGCACTGCACAGGTGCAGAAACCATGAAGAAGAAAGGTTCTTGTAAATCCACATGGAGAACTATCTAGGTATGAGAGAGTCTCCTACCCAGAATCCTTTTGATTGCTGGGCTGCGATCAGGCTACTGCAGTCATTTTATTAGGCTGCATTTTTAGATTGGGTTTCACAGGTAGATACAGCATGGATCTGTACAGATCAGGGCTTTGCCCCTTCTGTAAGTGAATAGAAGGAAAATTCTGACATTCTTCCCTAGCAGAGTTGGGAGTGGCAACAATCACATCATTCTTTGTTAATTATTAAAGACATAAAAGCGGTATTCATCTCTGTGATCAGGAAGCCCTG